CCTCAAGCGATCCTTCCACCTTGGTCTCCCAAAGTGCTGGGATTACAGGTATGAGCCACTGTGCCCAGCCCTCCTTTTCTAGTTTTTTAAACTGGAAGTTTTGGGTTTTTTTTTCCTTATTTGTATGTATTCATTTTCTATCAAGGATATTACTGTCTGTCCTATTTGTTGCAAATCTTTTTTTTCACCAGTTTTTATATTTGCATTTAAATCTTTTTGCCATATTTTTCATACTTTTTGCGTTTTTTTAAAACTACCTTTCCTTCCCTTTCTTTATATATGTTATATTCAACACATAGATTAATTTCTCCTGTTATATTGGCTTAACAATCTTTACATCTAACTACCTTTATAAAAATGTATAGGTTTTCATTACTATCCTTTGCCTGTTTTCATTAGTCCTCTTCAATGGCTATAAAAACTTACACACTATACCACAAGGAAGCACAAGTAGATACTGGGATAGGAGCTTAAGGAAATAGAGATAGTATTGGCAGTGGTGGCTTTGCCTAGGTGCCCTCTTCTAGAGTTGATGTAGAGTTGGCTAGAGTACCCTTCCCTAGAGTTGATGTGAATTAGACCTGTGGTTTAATGAAGATAACCCCATAAAAGTAGCTGGGGCCATTGATTAAAGAACAGATAATTAGCTGCCATATTATCAGTGATAAATTTTATATTGCTTCTTGTAGAAAATACCTTTGGTTTATTTATTTAGGATTTTAGAAATAGCTTTGAATTGTAAGTACTTTAAAAGTCAGTTTGATTATTAACTATAAAATGAAAATAAATGACTTACTACCATTATTTTTGAAGGGAGAAATTTAGAAAATATATTTTCTGAGAAGTTAAAGGAAGATAGTATTCCTGCTCCTCGCTCTGTTGGCAGTATTAAAATCAACTTTACCCCTCGAGTATTCCCAACTGCTCTCCGTGAATCACAAGTAGCAGAAGAGGAAGAGGTAGATATACTTGCTTTACAATCACCATAAATGAAGATGCTTTATTTTTTATTTCATCTATTAAAACTAGTACTGGTTCTGAATTTCTTAAGTATTCATTACACTTAAGATATTACTTGAATATATTTTAGCATTTTCTTAAGAGAAAATATATTTTGCAGATTTTTTTGGCTCCTAAATACTGACAGGAGAACACTGATTTTAATATATGTACAGTATTGGTGCTTATTCCAAGAGATAAACTGTTGTACTTGCCATTTATTTTATCAAATACATAATTTTCTATAATAGATTATAAACTTGGAATCAGTATGCATTTTAGAAAGAAGAGACTTGGAAACTATTAATATATTATAATTATTACTAATAACAGGTATTTCTAATGTGACATTTTAGATTTAATATCTTTCATTCATGTTTAAAGTCTTGAGCCTTGGAGTTCAAATATTGTACCTTCAGTTATATAAGAACTAAGAATTGCATTTTTTAAATGCAAAGTGTGAATGATGCCTCTTTCAATTGAAAAGTTGTAGAAATAACTGAAGATCCTTAAGATATAATGACAATTTATAAATATCAACTTTTTTCTTATTAAATAGTATATGATTTCTATTTTTATTTGTTAAATTATTTCTGTAATTATACAATTATAATTACTCGAATATCATACGCATATTTTTCAAATTAGAAAAATAAAAAATATTATAAGTAAGAAAAGTAAAATAATAATCACATGATCTTCCAGAAGAGATGAAATTTGGACTAGAAACTTTTATTTCTTTGATCTCAACCGGATAGTGAGGTTTTAAAAAAAGTTTAAAAATATATAAATATTGGAAGTTTAAAATCACCAACATCAAATACTGTATTAATCTGCTAGGGCTGCTATAAAGAAAATACCATAGACTGAGTGGCTTAAGCAAAAAACATTCATTTGTCACAATTCTGGAAGCTGGAAAGTCCAAGATCAGTGTGCCAACATGGTTGGATTTTTGGTTGTGGCCCTCATCCTAACTTTCAGAGGACTTCCTTCTCACTGTGTCTTCTTGGGTGAGGAAGCCCTAATCTCTTCCTCTTTTTATTAAGGGTATTATTAATCCTATCACGGGGGTCCCACCCTCATGACCTCATCTAAACCTAATTACCACTCAAAGGTACTTCTCCCTCTCCCACTTGCAAATACTGTGATATTCATGGTTAGGCCTTCCTTCATCATATGAATTAGCAGGGCTGGGGACACATTCAGTCCATCCCAAATAATATTTCCATCCACTGGAGGAAGGTGGAGACTGTTAGAGCAACTGTAAGTAAAAATAAAACATTTGTATTCATTATAAGACTTCATTCTCATTTCAGTGGCTACACAAACAAGCTGAGGCACGAAGAGCAATGAATACTGATATTCCTGAACTTTGTGATTTAAAGGAAGAAGAAAAGAACCCAGAATGGTTAAAGGACAAAGGAAAGTAAGTGGTTTGAATTCTGGTCATGAGATTTATAATGTATGTAGACGTTAGTTGTTATCACATTCTCTGGATGTTTTGACCCATGTTTGTGAGTGTGTGAGTGTGTGTGTGTGTGTGTGTGTGTGTGTGTGTTGTTGGGGAAAGATAATTCAAATAAGCAAGTAAAGTAGGCAGGGGTGTCAGGCAGGTGGGAGGGAAAGGAGGGGGTGGGTAAATTCACACCTAACTGGTGCTGTACATGCTGTCTGGGGGATGGGCACACTTGTAGCTCTGACTCAGGCGGTGCAAAGGCAATTTATGTAACCAAAAGCCTTTGTACCCCTGTAGTATTCTGAAATAAATAAATAAGAGTCAGATAATACAACATTTAAATAAGGCTCTTATTATTTTTATTTAAATGTTATAAAAATTTGAAAAATCAACGTTTTGGAATGCTTATTAAAACCCCCTTTTAAAATCACTTTAACATTTTTAATTTTTCATTTTTTGGGTTTTTGGTTTTTTTCATAGAGACAGGGTCTTGCTCTTGTTCAGGCTGATCTAGAGCTCCTGACCTCAAGGGATCCTCCTTCCTCAGCCTCCCAGAATGCTAGGATTATAGGCATGAGCCAGCCCAGCCCTAAAATCACTTTAACATTTAACCTAAGTCCTTCGGGATGTCTCCCTTTAAAAAAAGGCTTTTTAGGCCAGGCTTGGTGGCTCACACCTATAATCCTAGCACTGTGGGAGGCCAAGGTGGGAGGATAGATTGAGGTCAGGAGAAGAGCTTAAGCAAGAGTAAGACCCCATTTTTACAAGAGAATAGAAAAAAAAATTAGCCAGGTGTAGTGCCGTGTGCCTGTAGTCCCAGCTACTTGGGAGGCTGCCGCAGGGGGGAATCATTTGAGCCCTGGAGTTTGAGGTTGCTGTGAGCTGTGCTGAACTACTGCATACTTAGCCAGGGCGACAGAGTAAGACTGGAGCTTTTTTGATTATTCATATCTATTTTTAAAAGATTACCATATTGTCGTATAAATTATCTTATATCCAGGCAATCATTTTATTTATTTATCTATGTGTGTGAATATTTTAATACAATTATTAAAAACAGCAAATACTGGTATAATTCTGAGTGACAATTTGAGTTAATATTTTGAGGCAGCTAGATATTTTTTATTATAGTTCATCATATATACTTCTGTGTTATTTTCCTATTGCTTCTGTAACAAACTATCATTAATTTAGTGGCTTAAAAACAACACACATTTATTATCTTATTGTTCTGGAAGTCTATAGTCCAAAATGAGTTTCACTGGGCTAAAATTAGGTGTCAGTTGCATTCCTTCTGAAGGCTCTAGGGGAAAATCTGTTTCCTTGCATTTCCAGCTTCTAAACTGCTTGTATTCCTTGGCTTGTGTCCTCCAACCACCTATTGATTACATCACTCTGACCTCTGTTTCCAGAGTTACTTCTCCTTTTCTGACTCTCCTGCCTCCCTCTTTCTTTTATAAAGATCTTTGTGTTTACATTATTCTCGTTTATATAATCCAGAATAATCTCTCTATCTCAAAATCTTTAGCTTAGTTACATCTGCAGAGCCCTTTTTGCCATGTTAGGTAACATATTCATAGATTCTGGGATTAGGTTGTGGACATCTTTGTGGGGGCATTAGCTGTCTGCCACAATGCCTGTATTTTTCTTTTCTTATTTTCTTTTTTTGCTCTTTCTTGGTCTTTTGTCCTGTCTGTTGTAATACCAGGGATTGATTTGTGGTATTTAGCTGTAGTTGGCAATTTTTCTGAAGGTCAGAAGCCTGGGGCTGACAGGTTGTTTCTTTTTACTCCCAACAGTACATATATGCTTTCCTCCTCTTTCGCTCCTTTCTTCCTTGCTCTTCATTTATTCAACCATTAAATAAACATCTATTGATTGCTAGCTATTTGCCAGACAGTCAGATAGGCACTGAGCTACAGAGATCAGAAGGAGTGAGACTTACAACCTTACACAAATACAACACCCTTTGGGAAGTACAATAACATGGATAAGAACAAGTTAATATAGAGTATGAAAGAGGGGCACCTAACCTTTGAAGGGGGGGAGGTAAGCCCAGGAAAAACTTTAAAGTAGCACTTGAACTCCTCTTAATGGTAAGTAGGAGTTTTGAGAGGAATAGAGAGAAAGGCATTCATTTAAGGCAGAGGTGACAGTATGAGCAAAAGCTTAAAGATAAGAAATATTATAATATAGGTCAGAGCATATGGGTAGTTTATTCTTTGCTACACATAAAATTGAAAGTTAGGAGTGATAACAAACGAACCTAGAAAAATAGAGACCTCCAGTGATTGGTCAAAATTCTTAGATTTTATCCCATAAGGTGGGGAAAAAAATTTGTTGCAGAAAACCAGGCAAACACTTTGAACTATGGCATTATTATAGAGAAGGGGTAATTTGAGAAATATTTGAAAGGTAAAATAGGCATAACTTTTTGATTGATTGTTGGAGAGTAAGAGAGAAGGAGAAGTTATGGGTGACTTTCAGGTTTTTAGTTTGAATGACTGTGTGATATCACCAAATGAATTAGAGAGTACTAGAAGAGGGGCTAGTTAGGAGGGAATGCAAGTAAGTTTAATTTTGAATATGTTGAGTTTGAGATGTCTCTGAGAGTTTCAGTCTGGGTGACAATATGCAGCAAGTTTGAAACTTGGGAGAGGTCAGCACTGTAGATACGTATTTGGAGTTTATCATCATTTATATAACAGTTGAATTTATAAAAGTGGGTGAGATACCCTAAAAGAATGTGTAGACTCAGGAGAGTAGTGAACTGAGGATAAAACCCTGTGAGCTATCAACATTTAAAGGACTGACAAAAGAAAAGAGCATTAAAAATGCTCCCAGAGGCCAATGAGTAGAAACTTTAAGGGAAGAGTCTTTGTTTTGTTTTATTCTACCATAAGAATAGAAAAGATTTGAATAGGTTTGGAGACAGCAGAAAGAAGAGGCGATCGATACATGTCTAAGAAGAGTAGAGAAAATTGGGTCAAGGCTAAGTGTGGATGTATTGTTTTGATTTTTTGTTTTTGTTCTTTTTATTTTATTTTATTTTTTAGAGACAGGGTCTCACTAGGCTGTCTAGGCTGGTCTCGAACTCCTGGCCTCAAGCAATCCTCCTGCCTCGGCTTCCCAAAGTGCTGGGATTGCAGGCCTGAGCCACTGCACCTGGCCTGTTTTTCCTCTTTTTAAAAGTTGCATTAATTTTACAATACAGAAAATATTCCTTTTGGAAAAAACTCGCACAGTGCATATTAAATGAAAGCCCCTCCCCTGGTTTTGGGTCTCCTGCCTGTATATTAAATGAAAGTCCCTCTTGGTTTTGAGTGTTCTGCCTACCCTGCCCCTAGCTATAACCAAATCACTTTTTAAAAATTGCATTTGCTTATCTTTAAGCTACCGCTGTCATAATCACAGTTAACATATGAATAGCTTGTCATAGTTGACAAGAGCTTTCACATATACTAGCTCATTGAATCCTCACAACTGTAGTTGGGTAGGACCCACTGCATTTGCACTCATTTGACAAATGCCTATTGAGAAATTACCAACTTTGCACAAAATAGCTCACTTAATTTCCATAATAACCCGACTAGTTGGATATTATTGTCTTTATCCCCATTTTTATAAACATGGAAATAGGACTAGGGAGGTTAGGAAACTCGGCTAAGATGGTAGTTAATAATTAGAACCAGGATTCAATCTTAAGTCAATATGACTTTGAAGCTTGTGTTCTAACCAGTGGTACAACCTTTCACAGATAAATAAAGTATACTTCCTGCCCTTTTGTTCCATTTGGTTAGCCCTAGTGAAGGCCGCCCAAGTGATTTGGCCATGAATTGCTCCTCCTTGCAGCCTGAGAGTGCCTAAGTGTGTATAGCTGAGTGTGCCAACCTGTTGGATTGCTTACTTTCCTCTAGAAAATGTTGACATATTAACTTGGGATAGGCAGAGATACTTCACTTTCTGAGATTGGAGAAAAGAAAGTAAAGAAAAGTATGGGTCTAGGTAAGTAAGTTTCTAACAACAAGGGACATTGATTAGTGGGTACTGCTGAGGGCCCTGCTAGGTTCGAGAGCAAGAATTAATAGAGATGCCAGTGAGTGCAGCTATGGGATGGACTGTCTCCTACAGTGGCAAACCGGTCAGTCATCATAAAAATGATAGTAGCGTTTGTCCTTGTCTCCTTTTTTCTCAGTGTATGCTTAGTACCATAAGCACTTAATAGGTGTTGAATGAATGAGTACTTTTGCATAATTCTTTCAGTCACTTTGCCTTATTTAGAGTATCATGGAGACTTAATGGTTATTAGATTTTCTGCTTAAATTTTGTGTTCAAAGGCTGCTCCCCTTTAGACAGAGGTTTAATTTTTTTCCCTTTTATTTTGAACTTTAACTATTTCTGAGTTGAGAACTATTCTGAAAGCCATAAGCAAAATTTTGGATGCTTGTAGTGGTATTGAATTTTAAGGTGTATGATGTTTATTTAGACTTATGTTTTAATACATATGTAAACATTTAAACATTTTTAAATGCTTTATATTTTCTGCTATTATGACTTGTATAATAGTTCTTTTAATACTGATCATTGTAAGCTCTTTTTCCCTTAGAACCTGGGAGAGTTTTTCCAACAAAACTGTTATATTATATGACTGTAAATCTATATTGAAGGTGAAAAATGGAAATGTTCTTAAATAATAATATAAGTTTTATACAGACATATAGACCAATAGAATAGGTAGCCCAGAAACAAACCCTCACATATATGGTCAAATGATTTTCCACAAGGGTGCCAAAACTATCAACAGGGAAAGGACAGGCCTTTCAACAAATGGTGTTGTGAAAACCAGACATTCACATGAAAAAAGAATGAAGTTGGGGATGAGTGTGGTGGCTTACACCTGTAATCCTAGCATTTTGGGAGGCTGAGGCAGGAGGATCACTTGAAGCCGGCCTGAATTCGAGACTAGCCTCGGCACCATAGCCAGATCCCATCTCTACAAAAAATTTGAAAAGAATTAGCTGGGCATGGTGGTGTGCACCTGTAGTCCCAGCTACTAGAGACACTGAGGCAGGAGGATTGCTTGAGCTCAGGAGTTTGAGGTTGCAGTGAGCTATGGTGACACCACTCTAGCCTAGGCAATAAAGCGAGAACCTGTCTCAAAAAAAAAAAAAAGAATGAAGTTGGACCCTTATCTAACACCATATTCAAAAATAAAATGGCTCAAATACTAAGTGTAAGAGCTAAACTATAAAACTCTTAGAAGAAGACACCAGGTGCTTCATGACATTAGATTTGGCAGTATTTCTTGGATATGACACCAAACGACAGGCAACAGAAGAAAAAATAGGTAAGTGGGATCAAATCAAAATTAAAATCTTTTGTACACGGAGGACACTATCAACAGAGTGAAAAGGCAACCTACATAATGGAGAAAATATTTGCAAATTCTGAATGTATATAAAGAACTCCTACAACTCAACAACAACAAAACCCAAACAAACTAATTTAATAATGGACAAAGAACTTCAATAGATGTTTCTCAAAAGAAGATAAACAAATGGCCAGTAAACAGGAAAAGATACTCGGTATCACTAATCATTCAGGAATACAAATCAAAACCACAATAAGATACCACTTCATACCCATTAGGATAGCTATTATCAAAAAACAAAATATTTCAAGATGGATTTTGGGGAAAAATAAAATACAAAAATAAAAAAACCCCCAAAATAACAAGTGTTGGTGAGGATGTGGGGAAATTGGAATCCTTGTGCACTGTTGGTAGGGATGTAAAATGGTACAGCTGTTATGGAAAACAGTATGGTGGTTCCTTAAAAAATGATTAATAAAAATAGAATTATAATGTGATCCAGGAATTCCACTTCTGGTTATATATACAAAATAATTGAAAGCAGGGACACAAACAAATATTTGTACACCCATGTTCATAGCAGCAACATTCGTGATACCCAAAAGGTACGAGCAACCCAAGTGTCTACTGAGGGATAAATGGGTAAACAAAACGTATTATGTCCATACTATTATTCAGCCTTAGGAAGGAAATCCTGTCACATACCACAACATGGATGTACCTTGAAGACATTATGCTAAGTGAAATAAGCCAGTCACAAAATGACAAATAGATGATTTATTTCACTTATATGAGTCACCTAGCATAGTCAAATTCATAGAGACAGAAAGTTGAATGGTGGTTGCCAGGGACTAAAAGGGATGGGGAATGAAGAGTTATTACAGAGTTTCAGTTTGAAAAGATTAAAAAGTTCTAAAGATGGATGGTGGTGATTGTTGCACAACAATGTGAATGTACTTAATGCCACTTGTATACTTAAAAATTGTTAAAATAGTACATTTTGTTACAGATATTTTACCACAATTAAAAAACTAAAGTTTGTGGCTGGGCGCAGTGACTCACACCTGTAATCCTAGCACTCTGAGAGGCCGAGGCGGGAGGACTGCTTGAGCTCAGGAGTTTGAGACCAGCCTGAGCAAGAGCAAAACCCCCTCTCTACAAGAAATAGAAAAAAAATTAGCCGGGCGTGGTGACACGGTCCTATAGTCACAGTTACTCGGAAGGCTGAGGCAGGAGGATCACTTGAGCCCAAGAGTATTGAGGTTTCAGTGAGCTATGATGACACCACTACACTCTAGCCTGGGTAACAGAGCAAGACTACATATGTACGTATGTGTACGTATAAATAAATAGTAAAGTTTGTTATAGACATTATAGGTAACTTAGCCAATATTTATTCTCTCCCATTTCTATTTTTCTTTTTCTTTTTTAGAGACAGAGTCTCTCTCTGTTACCCAGGCCGAAGTGTAGTGGCCCCATCATAGCTCACTGCAACCTCAAACTCCTGGGCTCAAGTGATCCTCCAGCCTCAGTCTCCCAGGTAGTTAGGACTTTAGGCACGCACCACCATGCCTGGCTTATTTTTGTATTTTTGGTAGAAATGGGATCTCACTATGTTGCTTAGGCTGCTCTTAAACTCCTAGCCTGAAGTGATCCTCCCACTCGGGCCTTCCAAAGTGCTGGGATTACCAACATGAGCCATGGCACCCAGCCTAGTCTTTCCCTTCATCCTTATTGGCTGAGCCCATATTTTGTTCAGGTGTGCAGAACTTGTCCATGTGACTCAGCATGGACAAATGAGTCACCTTGGGATAGGTGACCCTATCCAAAGTCCAGGGATAAATTCTGATTGACTTCAACAGATCAAGATTGTTTTAATTACATGGCCGGTTTCTTTTTTTTTTTTTTGAGACAGAGTCTCACTGTGTTGCCTGGGGTAGAGTGCCGTGGCATCAGCCTAGCTCACAGCAACCTCAAACTCCTGGGCTCAAGCGATCCTCCTGCCTCAGCCTCCCGAGTAGCTGGGACTACAGGCATGCGCCACCATGCCTGGCTAATTTTTTCTGTATATATATATTTTTAGTTGTCCAGATCATTTCTTTCTATTTTTTTTTTTTAGTAGAGACGGGGTCTTGCTCTTGCTCAGGCTGGTCTCGAACTCCTGACCTTGAGGGATCCACCCGCCTCGGCCTCCCAGAGTGCTAGGATTACAGGCGTGAGCCACCGCGCTGCTCTGGTTTCTTTTTTAAAGATATACGTGCAAAACGTTGTTGTTTCTAAAAGCAAAGTATTGAAAAACAAAACCCCTAACTGTACCTCTGTAGAAGGAAATTGATTTCAGAAATCCTGGCACATATGAGAGAATACTCTAATGTTAATCTGTATGTTATATATATTCTGTAAGAATGTATCTGTGTTTGCTAACATCATCAGGTTTTTGAATTTTAAAAAACATTCCAAAGCAGTGATATATAGTACTGAGGAATAAAATTGGGGTGAGAAGAGGAGAGAGAGGGGGAGAAAGAGAAAGAGAAGGAGGGAGGAAGAGAGAGAAGAAAAAGCAGGAGGGAGAGAGAGTTTGAGAGAGAGAGACTGGTGGCTTTTGGTTTTTTTTCTTTAAAGGGTAGTATTTTTGGTTGAGACTTGAAAAAGGTAAACTGAGAGCTTTCTGGGAAAGGTTTTCTTGCTCTTAGGGAACATATACAAGAAGATAGTGTTGCATTTTCTTCTGATGGATATTGTGCCTGAATGTGTCACCTTGAATTAATATATCTGTGAGGAAAACCAGCCCTAGGATAAAGTTTATGCTGAGTAAAATAGAATGGAGAGATGGAAAGAACCCAAAGTCTTCATAACATCTTTGAACTGCTGAGTATATTGGACATGGAGCCTCTTCCTTCTGGACTTTTTAAAAGTGAAATAATTTATTTCTGTACTTGTTTAAACTGATTTGAATTGGAGTTCTGTTATTCGCAGTCAGAAACATCCTAGCTGATATGGGTAATTTCAGAAATATAAACTGTTCCCACAGAATTAGCGTTTCTAGTTTGTACAAGTTATTTTAAGCTAAAGTTAGATGTTACAGTGGTGTCATCTTAATCTTTTACTCATAATTTACTGGCTGCTTTTGTAGGTCCACTTTTGATATCATTGTGTTTAATATTCTAGAGCAGCAAAGTATGCAGTATAATCAGATGGAAATGGATACAAAAGTGTTACTTATATGGCACTTTTATATTTGGCAAAGTATTTTCTATTTTTATTTGTATATATATGTGTGTGTGTGTGTATATATATATATATTTTTTTTTTTTTTTTTAAGTAAGAGACGGAGTCTCGCTCTTGCTCAGGCCGGTCTCGAACTCCTGAGCTCAAACTATCCCCCCGCCTGCCTTGGCCTCCCAGAGTGCTAGGGATTACAGGCTGGCCTCTATTTTCCTGTTTATGTATTTTATTCAAAATTTTGTAAGTACAAATTACACATGAGAAACAAAAAAGAAACCTTATATTTTAAATAAAACCTTTAGGTTGGCCATAGTGGCACATGCTTGTAGTCCTATTTGGGAGGCTGAGGCAGGAGGATTGCTTGAGGCCAGGAGTTTGAAGCTGCAGTGAACTATGATAGTGCCACTGCACTCCAGCCTAGGCGACAGTGCAAGACCTTATCTCTAAAATAAATAAGTAAATAATAAATCCTTTAATCATATACACTTATTTGAAGAGAATTTTTGAACATTTGAACTAAAATGGTATATCCATTGCAAGTAACCAAAAACCCAATTCAAACTGGCTTTATATTAAAACGAATTTATTTTCTTATGTGACTAACGAGATAAAGGTGTTTTGCATTTCAGGTAAAGCTTGACCTAGCAGCTTAAGTGTATCATGAAAAACTCTGCTTCTTTCTGCCTTTTATTCCTTTCACATTTCCATAGTATCAGATTAATTTAATGCTGTCTCTTCCTGTGGTGTTACAAATGGTCAGGAACAATTTGGATTATTTGCTTTCTTCATTTATATCCAGCAGGGGGAGAAGTTTTCCTAACTTTTCATTCTCCAACTTTGAAACCAAAGTCACAAGCTTCATGCTAAATAGATCAACATAGATCACAAGCCCATTACCAAATCAATCACTGTAGCAAGGAGGATGGAAATATGCTTCCTGGCTTAAATACTGATGGCCACCCTTGGAGGTGGGGGTTAGGTCCATCTCATTCACGTTACAGGCTGGCGTATGTGAAAGAGAGTTGGAGTCAGTGCAGCCAATAATGTCTACTCTATAGGGAATACAAAAAGAGTTAAGTCATTTGCTCCGCCAAATATTGTTAGATATTATTTCTGTGTTTCTGTTTCAATGTTATAATTCTTTTCTTTTCTGTTTTTGTTTCATTAGCAAGTTGTTTGCAACAGAAAACTATTTGGCAGCTATTAATGCATACAACTTAGCCATAAGACTAAATAATAAGATTCCACTATTGTATTTGAATCGGGCCGCTTGCCACCTAAAACTAAAAAACTTACACAAGGCTATCGAAGATTCTTCTAAGGTATTTATATCTTTTTACATATGGTGCTTTAAAATTATCCTCCTTTTAGGCTCGCTCTTCCCAGTCCCGGAGCCAGGGTGGGGGCTCGAGGCGGCTAAAAAAAAAAAAGAAAAAAAATTATCCTCCTTTTTATTGGTTTAAATAATGTTCTTTTTCTGTTAAATAATTGAGATGCAAGAATTTTAAGAATCATCTTGCTTATTACATCTTTTTACTGATTTTTTTTAAATAGACAAGAAACTGGGGTGGTTTTTTTTGAGACTTCAAGTTAAATTAGAAATCAATTGTTACTCTGTTGTTTTGGTATATCAGTTGAAGTTCACAAGGAAATTAGTAAATGGCTGTCAGTTGTGCTCACCCTGTTTTTTTTTTTTTATAAAGTTTTGCCAAGTTAGTGTAAGGTGGAAGGGAGAATACTTTGTATTCCCTTGTTGTCTCTAACACTTGTACAGTAAAAGTTTATAATCATTTTCAGGATAAGTTAGTATGTTCTAATTTCCACTATTAATATTTCATGTGAATGTATTAAACTTTTATAGCTTTTTCTTTTTTCAATGTCAAGGTAACTTGTTTTGAGGGAATATCATGTACAAAATCTCTTATGTGCTTCCTTGAGATTGAGGATATGGAAGACACAACCAAATCCTTAAACTTTGATCTCATAATATTTTTATGATCCAGTTTTTCTTTTACTAGCACAATACAAACAAATATTTACTGAATGAGTGAATAAACTGAATCACCCCATCTGAATACAAAAGCCCACAAATGCTATTTAATCATTCTTGCTAGTAAAGGTAAAGCTGTAGAGATTTCGAGTGATAAGCCAGATCATAAGTTTGGGAAGATATGAATCCCATATAGGAAGAATCAAAAACTTTCTTAAATTGTTCAACATAAATATATGTATTTGATAAATTCCTGTACCAGCTGAGGCTAAACTTTAGGTATGTGAGGGCTTGAGGCTTGTTTTAGAATTAGAATTTTTGCCATGTTTTTGCTCAAATTTGAATTAGGAAGTTATGTCTTTCTCTTATTAATTTTACGTATATATATATTTTTAAGGCACTGGAATTATTGACACCACCTGTTGCAGACAATGCTAATGCAAGAATGAAGGCACATGTACGACGTGGAACAGCATTCTGTGAACTAGAATTGTATGTAGAAGGTAAGAAATTGATAGAAATATTTTAAGTTCCAAGTTATACTCTGAAAATAATGTTATTGGGATTATTTAAAATCATGACTTCTTAGGACTCCATGTTTTATATTTTTAGCATTTAATTTATTGTTTGCAGCTGGGCACCATGGCTCATGCCTGTAATCCCAGCACTTTGGAAGGCTGAGCTAGGAGAATTGCTTGAGGCTAGGAATTTGAGACCATTCTGGGCAACAGAGCAAATCCCTGTCTCTACAAAAATAAGGAAAATTAGCTGGGCATGGTGGTGCATGCCTGTAGTCCCAGCTACCTGGAAGGGTGAGACAGGAGGATTGCTTGAGCCCAGGAGTTTGAGCTACGATGACACCACTGCACTCCAGCCTGGGCAACAGAGTGAGACCCCATCTCATAAAAAAAAAGAAATCTGTTCTTTGCAATATCTGCAATGTATCTGACAAAATAAAAAGTGATTTCAAACTTATATTTTAAGAATTAATTAGAAGGAAATTGGCCAGGTATGGTAGCTCACACCTGTATTCCCAGCTACTCAGAAGGCTGAGGCAGGAGGATGGCTTGAGCCCAAGAGTTTGAGGTTGCAGTGAGCTATGAAGATGCCACTGCACTCTAGCCTGGGCAACAGAGCAAGACCGTGTCTCAAAAAAAAAAAAAAAAATTTCATTGTAGAAGAGAATTAAAACAAGATGTGAACAAGTTTTGGTTTAGGACAATGCTGTATTATCAGACAACTTTTCTACAGAAAGATATGTGATAAAGGATGTAAATAATTCACTTTAGATATACTGGAAATTTGTAAATGAACTACCTTGATCAATACCGTGTGTGTGTGTGTATACATGTATGTAAGCTCAGAAATAGCTGTTCTATTGTGTATGAACATTGCTTATATTTATGAGACTGTACTAAGGTCTATAATTCAGTCCCACATATATAGAAGCCATAGCATTTATTTTATTTCATTTTTAATATATTCTAGGGACCACTTACAATTGCTCATGTTTGCCCCCAAGGCAAATTTTTTTAGTAGCCAAAGTTTACCTTCAAAGTCCCTCTTTCCATACCTCCCTACCCAGATGCCCGTTCAAGTTTCCCTTCACTTGAAACCCAGAGGCCCTTATCTTGATGATGCCTTGGAATGGGCTCCAGCTTGTAAATTTCGATTAATCTCTGATTTTGTTTTTAAACTTGGTTTGGCCATTTTTAGGAGGTTTTTGTAACCAAAGCATCCAATTAGGTTTATATGCCCCATCCTTTTTAAAATGTCTTAATCCAGCTTCATGAGGATAAAGATGATCAAGACAGAAATGAAACATTGTAAAGCATTCTTTAGAAATTATGGCATCATAGACTTTTTTGAGCTACAAGGACCCCTCATTTTAAAGATGGGAAAATGGAGGCTTGGAGAAGTTAAATGATTTGCCCAATGTGACATAGCAAAACAATAGCATTTTAGGGACTAGAACTCAGGTTTCCTTACTCTCAAAGAAATATTCTTTCCATTGCTTTTTTGGGCAAAGATCAAGATTCACTTCCATATATATTTTTTTTTTTTATTCAACATTTGATTTTTTTTTTTTTTTTTGAGACAGAGTCTCGCTTTGTTGCCCGGGCTAGAGTCAGTGCCGTGGTGTCAGCCCAGCTCACGGCAACCTCAAACTCCTGGGCTCAAGCGATCCTTTTGCCTCAGCCTCCCAAGTAGCTGAGACTACAGGCATGCGCCACCATGCCCGGCTAGATATATATTTTTTTTTTTTAGCTGTCCAATTAATTTCTTTCTATTTTTAGTAGAGATGGGGTCTCGCTCTTGCTCAGGCTGGTCTCGAACTCCTGAGCTCAAACAATCCACCCGCCTCGGCCTCCCAGAGTGCTAGGATTACAGGTGTGAGCCACCGCGCCCGGCCCACTTCCATATCTTTAACAAGCAATTGACAATGCTTTCGTTTTTTACCAGTTTTTCTCAAAGGAATTCTATAGATACAACTATAGAAAAAAGTACATACTACATTCTAGTTTATGAATTATATGAAGTGTGGATTGAGTCTACAAAAATTATTTTTACTTTTTTTTTTTTTTTTGAGATGGAGTCTCACTACATTGTCCTGAGTAGAGTGCCGTGGCATCAGCCTAGCTCAGAGCAACCTCAAACTCCCGGGCTCAAGATCCTCCTGCCTCAGCCTCTCGAGTAGCTGAGACTACAGGCGTGTACCACGACGCCCGGCTAATTTTTTTGTATTTTTAGTAGAGACAAGGTCTTGCTCTTGCTCAGGCTGGTCTCGAACTCCTGAGCTCCAGCAGTCCTCCCGCCTCAGGATTACAGGCATGAGCCACTGTGCCCAGCCAAAAAGTATTTTTAAAATCTAGATTTCTAAATAAGATGCCATTTATTTTTCAGTGAAGCAGTGAAACTGTTGTTTGTATGTATGTTTTATGGAATCTGTTCCTGTTTTAATGAGTTTAAGCTTTTAGCTTATTTGTGCTTGAATTTAAAATAACTGATTCTTACCGAACCCTGAGAGAAATCATAATTATTCCTAAAATCACTGAAAAATTTTTGCAATCTTATAAAGATACTACTATGTGTGTAAAGATGGGAGTCTGATTTAAAACTTGGTATTTGTCCCAAACTGTTACTAGTTATTTTTATTTTTAAAACATATTGTCTAGATAAGAAATTCTTATAAAATACTTATTGATCATCATTGCTATTTAAATATAGGCCTACAGGATTATGAAGCTGCACTTAAGATTGATCCATCCAACAAAGTTATACAAAATGATGCTGAGGAGATTCGGAATGTAATTCAAGGAACAGAACTAAAACCTTAGAGACTACTAGAAGCAACTAGGTATTGTATTAGGTATTGTTTTAAGTTTTTCAAAAATAACTGGAGGCATCAGGAATCTTTGTCTATGTTATAGTCAATTGTGCAGAATCAGTTTCTTTTTATTACTTGAGTTCTGCAGAGGGCAAAATACAGATCTATAGAAAATGAAATGTTTGACTCTATTTCTGAATGACTAAATCAAAATAAGAATACTCTATTTTAATTCTATACTTCTTAATGCATAATTTAATTATACATTTTTTTTTGTTACTGAATTATGCTTGCCCTTGTAACAAAATATTTGTTGGTCTAGTTACCAGGAAGCTTACTGATTAATTTTTAACAAGCTAGAATTTTAAAATAAAAGATTACGTTTGTTTGTATTAAATATACTATTTAATTGTCTCAATGGTTGACTTTGGTATAATAAATACTGATAGGTTTTCAGTTAGGTTCTAAATACACAGAACCTTATTTTTTCTTTAATACTTCACCATCTGTTGTTTGAGGTTAGACCAGTTCAGTCTAGTAAAACAACTGTTTGGAAAACCTTATCTTCAACTTTAGTTATAGGCTGTGTCTCCTAAAATTGATCATATTTCATAACACTATGTGGTGAAGATAAGTCTTTTAGTGAGATTGTTTTCTAGTACCATCAAGTAGACTGGGGAGGGGGTTGGGCAGCAAAGGGTAAGATGTTAATCTGGGATATTACGGTATTGGCATAGGATTGCACCACCATTTGTGTTGTGTCACTGTGATTGTGCAAGCATTAAGCACAACAGTACAGCTTCCCTTTTGCATGTAGTTACCACAATTCTCCAATTAAGTTTAGAGGATTTTTTTGAAAACAATACTGGGATGGAGTTTTTACAGTATTTGATCATCTGATGCTGTCATTTGAGTGGATCAAAAAATAACTCTCTTCTTTTTTTTTTTTTTTTAACGTAATACCTTTTTTCCCTTGGCTTAAAATGACAGAAATTTATTCTCTCACAATTCTAAAGGCCAGAAGTCTGCAGTTGACGTGTTGGCAGTGTCACATTCCCTTGGAAGGATGTAGGGAAGAATCCTTCCTTACCTCTTCCAACTTCTGGTAGCTCCAGGTTTCTTTGATTGTGGCAACATAACTGCAGTCTTTGCTTTGATCTTCACATGATCTTTTCCCCTATGTCTCTGTATGTCCTTTGCAGTCTCTTGTAAGGACACCATTCATTAGATTTTGGACTGTGAACTAAATGTAAAATCCTAAGCCCACTGCTAACTGAATGGACCCTTCTGGGCCAAGGGGACCCCAGAAAAACTTTAAAACTGAGTTCCCAGGCATGACCAGATGGGAGGTATAAAGCATAATTACACAGGCACATGTTTTCTTTTAATAAATATTCATGACTGCTCCTATAGCATGTTAAATATGTATATCTAGACACTGTGCTCAGTATAAAATCGTGTTCCTTTTGTCTCTCCCTTGAAACATGTGTACTTGGCTTGTAGCCTAACAGCTTTTCAGAATGGCCGCTGTGAACTGAAAACCCTTAATGAGAAATAAAGCCAGAGTATAAGCCTCGTGGGGTTTTTTGTTTGTTTGTTTGTATCAAAGGAAAAGAAGCCAAACTCTGTAAAATAATTTAAAGAGGTTTATTCTGAGCCAAATTTGAGGACCATGGCCCGGAGCCATGCCCAAGAAGTCTTGAGTAAGTGGACTCGCTGTGGTTGGGTTACAGTTTGGTTTTATACATTTCAGGGAGACAGGCATTACAGGTAAAGTTATAAATCAATACATGGGGCAGGGCATGGTGGCTCACACCTGTAATCCTAGCACTCTGGGAGGAGGCTGAGGCTGGAGGATCACTTGAGCTCAGGAGTTCAAGACCAGCCTTACTGAGCAAGAGCAAGACCTCCTCTCTATTAAAAACAGAAAAAAAAAAAAAATTAGCTGGGCATGGTGGTGCACGCCTATAGTTCCAGCTACTCAGGAGGCTGAGGCAGGAGGATCAGTTGAGCCCAGGAGTTTGAGGTTGCTGTGAGCTAGGCTGACGCCAGGGCAACAGAGTGAGACTGTGTCTCAAGAATAAATACATACATAAATACATGGAATGCATACATTGGTTTGGCCCGAAAAGGTGGGACATCTCATAGGAGGCTTTACAGGTTATAGGTGGGTTTAAAGACTCTGACTTGTAATTGGTTAAAGAAATGAAGCTTTATCTAAAGACTTGGCATGTTTTAAGTTAAGATAAGGAAGTCTTTTAATCAGAGACTAGCTACCGACATATACACAGACTCTGATTTGTTATGTAAATTGAGGACCTACAGGTTTGTCCTGCATAGCCTTAGACCAGTTAATGAGTTACAAAAGATATCTACAAAAGGGAGGGAGGGGGTGTGATGAGGCATGTCTGACCTCCCTTCTTATGGCCAGCAACTCAGTTTTAGGGTATCCTCTTGGCCAAGAGGGAGTCCGTTCAGTCAGCTGGTGGGGGGATCCTTAAGATTTTATTTTAGTTCACATTTTTTTCTTTTTTTGTTTTTTTTTAGTTAACAGAACCCACTGTAATTCAAGAGGCTTCTACCTTGGTATCCTTACCATAATTACATCTGCAAAGACAGTAGAATGCAATACCTTTGTGAATGTGTCAGGATATTATAATTCAGCAACCTTGAAACTTTTATACAACAATTTTTGATAACTTCTCTAGCAGTCCTGTTATAACTTCTGATGAGGCAGAATTGCTTTTTCTTGTAATCACCTCAGGTTTTCTGATTTTTAATAAAAAGGGACTTCTTGTAGAAAAATACCAGTTTGACATTCAAAATATGTTAACTAACCAATGCTTTCCTCAGGCTCTTCCCTATATATCCTTCCTAATCAGGAAACAAAAGACTGGGCCCAATAGCTGCCCTAGAAGGTAAAGTCTTAAGTAGTTAATTAATATTTTTCTTACTATTTCCTAAATAAATTCTTGGTTTAAATGAAACACTCATTTATATTTAGGAAGTACTTGGCCTCTTTACAGCAATCTATGATGGTTTGCACAGGACTTTTGTCTAAGATTGAAGTGGTGATAGAGTTAAAATAATGACACAGACATTCCCATTTCCATTATGATAAAAACATGCTTCCCAAATAATAATGTCATTAGAACCTATGAATAAAAGATAAGAAAAATATATTGTGGTAGTCCTTTGATTTTTCTCATAAGGCCAATTTAATTATTAAATTGAAATTAATTTCCAGATACCAAGTAAATAATAAAGTAAATGTAGCCCTTACAGAAATGTAAACTGGAGAAAACTTTAATCTTCCACTATTGTGTTACTACCATTCATAAATATACAGTGTACACATCTATTAAAGAGCTTTTAAACAAATTTAATTATAAACAATGTCAATGCTGTATCACAACATTGCATGCCAAAAAAGGACCCTAGTTAGTCCATTTTTACAATGGATATTTTATATGACTAGGAAATAAATAATAATTGTTGACTAGGTTTTGTTTTGTTTTTAGAGATAGGTTCTCACTCTGTTGCCCAAGCTGAAGTGCAGTGGTGAGATCATAGCTAATAGTAACCTTAAACTCCTAGGCTCAAGCAATCCTCTCAGCCTCCCAAGTAGCTGGGATTGTAGGCATGTGCTACTGTAACAGAGGGAATAGCCTGGAAAAAATGGCAAAAATATTTTCTGTCTCTAAAGCTTGAATCTCTGCCTTAGGCCAGTGGTTGGGAGGAGCAGGGTAAATCTTTTGTTTATTTGTATAACAGGAGATGGCCCAGCTTGACCCGGTAAAGGGAGATTCTGGGTGGAGGTCAAGAGATTGTCTTCAGTGGAGATGGAATGATCAGAATTATCAACTGTAGTTGTACAGTAATTGCCTGAAGCCGAGAACCCATCCACTAAAAGCTCTATTTCTGTGAATGTGTAGGAAGTTTGGGATTTTGAGACAAGAAGGTCTACCATTTTTCCTCCTTTCCCAGCAAAGTAAACTCTCTTTCCTTCCTCCTCAAACCACTTGTCCTCGTTCATCATTGGCCTTGTGGACAAGTGCCAAGTTTTTGGTAACACTACCATGCATGCCCTGCTGGTATTTTTTAATTTTTTTAGAGAAAGGATCTCCTTTGTTGCTCAGGCTGGTCTTGAAATCCTGGTCTCAGGTTGATCCTCCCACCTCAGCCTCCCAAATAGTGGGGATTATAGGCTCAAGCCACCATGCCTGGCTTTGTTAGACTAGATTTAAAAAGGAGTGTTTCCCTATATGCCCCTTACTTCTTAACTGACAGTCATTTGAGAGGTCACTAGGGTCCACAGGTAATTAGTTTCGCAAAACAAGTCTTCATCTCATTAAAGTGCTTGAGCATTTTATCAGGACTGAGCTCCTGGCTGGACAGGGTGGCTCACGCCTGTAATCCTAGCACTCTGGGAGGCCAAGGTGAAAGGATCACTTGAGGTCAGGAGTTTGAGACCAGCCTGAACAAGAGCGAGACCCCATATCTATTATTAAAAAAAAAAAAGAAAGAAAGAAAAAGGACTAAGCTCCTGACTAGACCCCAACAGACTGTTAATGAAAAAAACCAAAACTCTGTAAAATAATTTAAGGTGGTTTATTCTGAGCTGAATACATGTGCCCGTTGGCCCAGGGATCCACAAATCCAAAAAGCCTTGAGTAAGTGGTCCAGAGGCAGTTGGATTACAGTTTGGTTTTATACATGTGAGGGAGATAGGAACTTCAGGTAAAGTCATACATGAGTACATGGAAGATATACATTGGTTTGGCCTGAAAAGGCAGGGCATTTTGAGGAAGAGGGAGCTTACAGGTTATAGGTGGGTTTAGAGATTCTTTGGTTTGTAATTGGTAAAGAAATAAAGCTTTGTCTAAAGGCTTGGAATAAGCAGAAAGGAATGTTTTAAGATAAGGACCTCTGTTAATTATAGAGCAAGCCACAATATACATACTGAAAGTGTTCTGTTAAGCAAATTGATGGCCTGCAGGTGTGATTTAACCTTTGCCTTTCCTGGTTTCTGGTCCTTTTAGTAATTTAGTATCTTATTGCCACAAAGAATCTGTTTTGTCATTCTTATGTTCTCTGTTTTAACATTAATGTTGGTCACCTGGTATTCTAAACTCCAAAAGGGTGGGGGTATAAGGTGTGTTTGACCTACCTTCCCTTCATGGCCTAGAACTCAAGTTTTAAGGTTTTTCTGGGGTCCCCTGGGACAAGAGGGGGTCCATTTAGGTGAACGGGGATTAAGATTTTAGTTTACAAGACCAACCCAAAATGGAATCACTCATGATCAAGTTCCATTTCTCCAAACCAAAACTAATTAGGTTTGTGTGACTAAAACTTAGGGCATCAGTGTTACTCTCAGTC